TTTTTTTTTTTTTTTTTTCTTCTTCTTCTTTTTGTATTCTTCTCTCAATTTCACCTCACACTACCTACCTACCACTACCCCTAATTGTAGGCATACGGGGAACCCCGTAGCAGCCAGAACCGTGTTCACAAGAGAACATGCGGGTGCTGGTCCCGACCTGCAGGTGGGCGATACCGGCTAAGGGACAACCGGTAGCATTAGGGACCATGCCAATATGACCAATCCCTGTGCCTCCCCTCAGGTCCCCTCCCCTACAAACATCAGCAAACTCTGCTCAATGCCGATCGGGGGATCCAATGGTCTATCTCTAGGTGGTGGGCGCCAAGCATGCCTAGGAAGGTACATGAGGCCAATGAGGATTGAAACCTCGACATCCTGAATACCACTTGCGTGCCTTACCAATTGAGTTAGGCCGCTGGATTTTTCTTTTCTTTTTGGCCGCTGCTGCGGCCGTCTTTCCCCCTTTTTTTTTTCGTTTCGTCGCGCCGCTTTCCCTTTTTTGGCCGCTGCAGTGGCCGTCATCCCCCTTTTTTTTTCGTTTGGTCAGTTCCGATGCAGGCAGTCTGTCGCGTTCTTTTTTTTTTCGTTTGGTCAGTTCCGGTGCAGGCAGTCTGTCGCGTTCCATTTGCTCATTTCTTTTCTTTTTTCGCTTTCCCGCTCGCTTCTTTTCTTTTTTCGCTTTCCCACTTTCTTTTCTTTTTTTTGTTTTCGTCGCGCTCCCACTTTTCATGCTCGCGTCAGCGACAACTTTTTTCATTTTCGTTGTGATCCAACTTTTCGTGCACCTGTTAGCGGGAAAAGGCATTAGGGCAAAGCAAGCAGCCGCAACAGCAACCATCCACACCCACGCACCCATGCACCCACGCCCACGCCCACGCCTACGACCACATTTTGCTTTTGGCTATTGGCGACGCTTTCCTCTTTTCGTTTCGCGCTTTTGGCGACGCTTTCCTCTTTTCGGCCACTGCAGCGGTCGTCGACCCCAACCGCAGCAGCAACCATCCAGACCCACCCACCCACGCCCACGCCCACATTTCCCTCTCATTTCCTTTTTTTTTTTCTTTTTTTTCGTTCCGTCGCTTTCTGCACCATTTTCCTCTTTTTGATCGCTTCAGCGGCCATTATCCCCGATTCGCGTCCCTTTTTTTTTTATTTGGTCAGTTCCGGTGCAGGCCTCCCGTCGCGTTCCCGCTACTCACTTCTTTTCTTTTTTCGCTTTCCCGCTTTCTTTTCTTTTTCGTCGTGCTCCGACTTTCCTTCTTTTTTTTCGTTTGGTCAGTTCCGGTGCAGACAGCCCGTCACGTCCCCGCTGCTCGCTGCCATTCTTTTTTCATTTTCTTGCTTTCTTTTGTTTTTTGTTGCGCTCCCACTATTCGCTTTCCCACTTTCTTTTCTTTTCGCCACGCTCCTACTGGGGCACATACACATACACATACACATAGAAAGACAGACACACACACACACAGACACACAAACATAAACACACACACACACACACACACACACACACACACACACAAACACACACACACACACACATACACAAACACACATATCGACATACACATAGACACAGACACATACAGACTCATACACACACACACACACATATACACATACACAAACACGTTGTCAGCCGGCCACAAGTAGTGCGCCGCCTGAAAACGGCAGTTTAGGGGTTTAGGCTCAGGGTTAAGTCCGCGTTTTGACAGTGCTTTGGGATGACCAGGCAGCAGGAATTATGAGAACTCAGGGTACCCCTAATTCAGGGCGCACTGGATTTTAAGAGTGACCCCCAAAGACAGCAAGATGGATGGGTGCGTTGAGCGCATCTAGAGACCGTCATTTCCGGTCGTTCAGAGGACTGGTGCCGTTTTGGCCTGCCGCGGAGAGGGATCGCGGAAACAGACCTCGCCGCGGCATTTTGACGACATACAACCGAGGCCGAAATGAGGCCTCGGATTTTCGTCTTTTTAAACATCATTATTAAAAATAAAAGAAAGAGATTGAGGCCAGAAGAGGAGCGGAGAAAAACGCAATATTCTTTATTTTCTTCATTTTTCACTACATTTAATCTTAGGGGAAATTCCCTTGTTATTTTATGTTTTCG